GCTGCAGCAGGAGATGGAGAAGGAATTTTTACTTCCTGCTTTACTGGGGAAGGGGTCTGGCTCCTGGAGCTGTAAGGGTGACACAGTGACCTTAGACTGTGCCCAAATGTGTGCATTGTTCTGCCTAAGGGAGGAATAATGACTTTGGAGAAGGAAGACTTTAAAGGCTGAGCTGGGGCACCAAGGATGCTGATTCCTGTCAGCAATCCCTAATTTATAGGGCAAGGGAGGGGCTCTGCTCAAGGCTGGTCCAGCCATGGGAGAACAGGTGAGGGATCATAGCAGAAATCTAACAGAGACCAGCACCACAGCCAGCCCTAAGCACTGGGAGGACAACCTGGGATCTGAAATCAGGATGCCATTCCATAGACTAGGAAACCTCATCCTGTGCACTGAGCATCTGGGAGAGAAGCGTTACCGTCCCGTGATCCTCCGGATCAGCAAGGAGTCAGGGATGCTGAACTCAATGACCGAGTCGAGCTTCTCCTTCCTCTTCTCCAGGAGCTCATCCAGCTGCAAGAGCAAACACCCACCTCAGAGGGGCCGAGGGCCCAGGGACCCCTGTCTGCAGGGAAGGAGGTGCCAGAGCAGTCCCTGAGCAGGGCCTCACGTACCATCTCCGCCTGCTTCACCGTGCGGGGGAAGCCATCCAGCAGGAACCCGTTCTTGCAGGGAGGGGAGTCCAGGTTGTTCTCAATCAGCTCCACCACCATCTCATCGCTCACCTGCAGAGAGGGGGGAAGCCCGTGGTCAGGGGGGACACCCTGAACTTACACACAGTTGCCTCCAGAGCTGCTGCACTCATGGTGGGACTTTTGGGGTTGTCCTGTGCAGTGCCAGGGGTTGAACTCTATAATCCTTGTGAGTTCCTTCCAGCTCAGGATATCCTGTGACTCTACAATCCATGTCAGTGCCCAGGCTGCTTCAGGCCCCTCCTACAGCCAGAGGCAGCAGCCATGGCACAGGGCTGCTAACAGGGTGAAAGCTGCGTGCTCATTCCTGCCCACGTCAAGGAAGCACTCCCTGCCATGACTGCTGTGGGAAGCACTCCCTGCCACGGCTGCAACACCAGGATGTGGCCAAGGAGACCTTTCACTCCAGGGATACTCCACAGTGTGTCAGGGACTTGGACCAGTGCTGTAACCTCGCCGTTACAAAGGTTGCTGTATTTCAAGGAAGACTGTCGGCTCGAAGACAAACTCCTGAGATTATTTTTTTTTTTAAAAGCAACTCACAACAGAAAATTTCGACATAACCTTGATTTCCTGTTACTTTGTACCTTCACCCACACATCCCTCTCAGGAGACAGGAAGGGCAGAGCAGGCAAGTTGCTCATTGACTCCCATAAACCTTGTATGAAGGTAAAAGCCCAGTAGTTGCTGACAAGCTCTGGCTTTGCTGGATAGTTTTTTCCCATCCAACAATCTCGGCATACCGCTGGGATTAGTGCCTTTTCCACACTGCAGCACTAACAGATGCTGCAGCCCCAACAATAGCTGTTTATTTGGGAGCAGCTCTCCTCAGCAGCACTGTTTTCTCCAACACACACAGCTGGGACCCAGCAGGATTTGGGAACCAGGCTGTCACAACACACAAACAACAGCCCCCACAGGCAGGGGGGGGAAGTCTGGGTGAAGCAACAAGTCACTTCTGTGCCTTCCTGATTACACCCTTCAGAGAAACAGCCCCTGAGCATAAACCCATCCCAAACTGCTGTGCTCCCAGCTGAGTTATCACAGAGCCAGAGCTGCAGGGTGTCCCTGTGGAGCAGCCTGGAGCTGGCTGCCACACACACACACGTGGCAGATACCACCAGCCTCACCAGATAACGTCCCTATCTTTCATAACCAGCCGGGTATCGCAGGCTCGGTGTTGCAATGAGCTCTGGGCAGAAGCTGAGATAAGCCACGTCACTCTCCCCATTGGGGGCCTGCAGAGGCTCCCTGGGGTGTTACAAGCCCGTGACAGCTGCAGAGATGCCCGAGATCTGCCCCACACGGGGGCAAGTCGCTGCAGTTTGTGGTTCCTTGAGTTTCCTGGAGATAGTTCAGTCCTTCTGATGAGATAATTAGACCCTTGTAAAGTGAATGTCAGAGATTCCAGCTCTTGTCTCTGGGGGACCTAAAGTGCCTCTCTCACACAGCACCTGCTGTAGCTGTCACAGCAGCACCTTTAAGTCTATTTTCACCACTTGTGCAAGAGCTGGGATGCAGATAAACCCTCTGAAGTGATACCTGGAGTCCAGGTATCACGGGAAGAGAGGCTGGAGCAGCAAAGCATGGCTGCAACATCCTGCAGCTCCAAGGATACACCTTCAGCTCAGAGTGCTCAGAAACCAGCCAGAACTCACCCTGTGAGCATAAATACAAGAACCACCCCAAGGACACAGGCTGTCAGTAAGCAAAGAGCAACTCTGAAGAGGAAAGGTGTTTTTATAGGATGTTTCTCCTGCAGGATAACAGAAGGAAAACCTCCACCCCTGCCTTCACCCTGCAATCTGCCTTACCACACTAATTAGTTTTGTCACTGAGAAATCTAAACAGGAGGCGGGTTTTGCCTGCTCTCATTCCTGGTGCTGCCAGCCCATGTCCCCTCCCAGCACATCCCTCACGACCCACCAGCTTCCCAGCATCCATGGTCTCCTTGATCCGCTTGCCCAGCTCGGACCCCGAGGCCACCATGGCCCGCAGCATGTCCCCGGTAGCCAGGTGGCACACGCAGTAGGTCTCGGCGAGCTTGGGAGCCTGCGGGACAGAACAGACAGCGGTGAGCGCTCCGGGGATGGGACCTCGGGGTGGGGGGCCGGGGGGACGCTCAGCCAGGGCTGGGGTGGACAGGCTGGGGCCTTGTCCCCTGTGGCAGCACCGGACCGCTCAAGCACGTGGCAGGGCCCGGCGCCGAGCCCCGCGAGCGCTCCGGGAGCGGGGCCAGGGACCGGGTCCCCGCGGGCCGGCCCTGCTCCGGGACAAGGGATCCGGGAAAAGGGCGCCCTGGAGGCGCGATACCGCGAGCACCCCGAGGGAAGGGAGGCCCCGCGGAGCGGGACCCCCCGCACGCCCCATCCCCTCGCGAGGCCCACGCGGCGGTCACACGGGGAAAGGCCGGCGGGCCGGTCCCGCCGGGCCGCTCCCTTCACGGGGAGCTCCCCCCGCCCCTCCCGCGCATCCCCGCTCACCTGCGGTGCCCTTGCCGGCGCCGGCGGGCCCCAGCAGCACGGCGCGGATGCCGTGGCGGAGCCCCGGTGCCGGTGCCGGCCCTGCCCGCGGCCGCCCCCGGCCTGAGCGCGTCGGAGCCATGGCCGCCGCCGACTGCGCGCCCCCCCGCGCCGGGGGGCGTGACCCCGCGCGCCCGGCGTGGCTATGCATATGAGGGGCGTGGCCGCACAGACAACCCCGGCCGACGGTTTAAAAGCGAGTGGGGCGTGGTTATGCGTGCGGTGGGCGGGTTAACCCGGCGATGGGCGGGGTTTTAAGTGGCGGTGGGCGGGCTATGGCGCCGCGTGGCTTGGGGCTCTCCGCTGGCACCGGGCGCTGTGTCCAGTTCTGGGCTTCTCAGCCCAAGAAGGACATTTTGGGGCTGGAGCGAGCCCAGAGGAAAGCAAAGAGCTCGGGAAGGCTCTGGAGTGCATGTCCTGTGAGGAGCGCTTGTGAGGGGCTCAGCCTGGAGAAAAGGGGGCTCAAGGGGGAGCTTCTCACTCTCTCCCGACTCCCTGGCAAGAGGGTGTTGCCAGGTGCGGGTTGGGCTCTGCCACCAGGCCGCTAGTGACAGGAAAAGAGGATGTAGTCTTTAAGCTGCACCAGGGCAGGTTTATGTTGGCAGTAGGAAGAAGTTCTTTACAGGGAGAGTGATCGGACTGGAATGGGCTGCCCAGAGAGGTGGTGGGTTCACTGTCCCTGGAGGTGTTTAAAAAGAGACCAGATGCGGCACTCAGTGCCATGGTCTAGCAGGCAAGGTGGTGTTAGGTCAAAAGTTGGGCTTGATGATCTCAGAGGTCTTTTCCAACCTAATTCCTTCTGTAACTCTGTGGTTCTGAGCTCTGCTTGCCCTGGCGCTGCGTGGGTTCAGCGTGGGCTGGGCTCAGCGCCCTGCTCTGCGTGGGCTGTGCATCACAACACTGCCTGGTACATCCAGGAGAGACTGGCACTGCAGTGCTCTGCATCCCTCTGCTCTGCCCTCAGTGCAGTGCTCTCTGCATGGCTTCCCACACTCCATGCAGAGCAGTCCAGGACTGGTGCCAGGCCAGAGCACTGGGAAAACACGCCAGGATCTCACAGGAGACAAGAGCTTCCTTGGCCCTGGTTGCCAGGAGAGTCTGTGGCAAAGCCAAGACCACGGTGTTGAATACAGAAACCCAGGATAAGTCTGTCCCTCTCACCTCCTCATGGGGGGCAGCTACCCCTCCACACACAGAACACTGGCTCCTCAGCAGCACCAAGGAGGGACCTGCAAATTAACAAGGAGAAACAAAAATAGTCCCTGCTCGGCCCTTGCTGTTTGTGGGATGGAGCAGTGCAACCATTTCCAAATGCAGCAGAGACAGCACTGATGGACCAGACGAAGCACCTCCATTTATGGCAGAGCTGGACCTGCTGCCAGGGAACCCACCGAAGCTGGCAGCACCTCAGCAAGGGCAGGATCAGTCCCTGACATCTTCCCAGCTACCTCCTGCCCGCCCTGCCAGAGTCACAGCCAAACAGGCACTGCAGGGAGCCTGGTTTCCCTGGCAGCAGCATTTCAGAGGTATTTTGAGCTCTCTTCCCCACGAGGGTCCCTGTGCATAGGATGCACAGCCTCGTGAGGTGGCCCCACAGCAGGTCCAGGCTGGGGATGAGCTGGGCTGGGTGAGAACCCCGAGGTGACTCCTGGGGGCAGCCCCAGCCCTGGGAGGGGGCGGGCGAGGTGGGGGAGCATTCTCCAAGAGGGATGCAGGATGCTCAGAGGCAGCTCAGCCAATAGGGTCGCTGGATTTGGTTGTCATGGTTACAGTTGGGAGGCAGAGCAGGGAGGGAGCCCTGAGAGAGAAGGGGTGCAGAGCTCCCCCATCCTCTGCAAGGGCTCAGGGCGGGCAGGGAGCTGGGGCAGGACAAACAGCCACTGCTGGGGCCGGTTCACTCTCTCGGGAGACCCATGGCAGAATCTGTTTAAATGCTTTCTGAGGTAAGGGGGCTTAGGGGTCCTTGAGGGGAAATGTCTTGCCTGGCACAGTGAGGAGGGGGCTGGTGAGGGATGCCTGTGGCTGCTGAGTTTTGGGGATGGTGGGTGGGGGGTGCTGTCAGTGCCCCTCTCCCTCGCTAACCCCGTCACTGCTTCTCCCCAGGGCCCCCGGACCCCCAGCAACAGCCACACCTCAGGGTGCTGTGGGAGCTCTACATTCCGTGGGGAGCCCCTCTGGCAGCACGTCTGAGCACCTGGGAGGGAGAACCGGGCCTTGGTAAGGAGGGGGTGTCCCAGGCTGGGGCACATTCCAGGAATGACCCACCTCACTGCTTCCGTGCCCCATCCTGGTGGGCTGGGTGCTGCTTAGTGATGGGATGGGAAGGGTAAAGCTGTAGCAGTCGCTCTCCTTTCCTGAATATGAGGCTCTAAGAGCTTTAAAAACATGGTTTTTTCACCTCATTCCCCAGCTCTGGAATTTGCTGGTGGGGCTTGCTCAATGCATTACAACATCCTGCTGCTCTGGGGTCAGCGTGGTCTTCCTCCCAGTGCCTGCCCCAAAATGTTGTCAGTAGGTGTCTGTGGGGAGGAGGTGCAGTGCTGCTCTGAGAAATGAAACCTCTGCCTCCTGCTCCCTTCAGATCAGAGAGACCATGTTCCTGTAAGATCCCTGGAGCTAGACCCAGATTATCAGTGGAAATGTTCCCTGCTATGTTGTCAGCTCTCTGGGTTATGAGACAGGCTGGGTCCAGGGCAGGAAATTGTTAAAGTGTGCGAGCTTAAAGGTAAAGCTCTGCTAGGATGAGCCAGGAAACTCTGTGCAGCTTAACTGTCCCCTGGTTCCACACCCTGTGTCATGAAAGAGCCGTGGATCCACAGCGGGGATCCAGACTGTCCTCAGGTCGGGCAGTGTCAGCAAGGGGTCTGTGCTCTGCCTCCCTTTTCCCAGGGCTTGTGTGCCTGGGAAAATGGATCCATGAGAATGGAAACCATAAGGGATCCTCACCACAGCAGATCCAGCTACGTTCCAGAGCGTGAAGGGACATGTCCTGGCACATAAAGGCCTCCATCCCCTTTGCAGTGCAGTTGGCTTTGTTGTTGAACTGCTGCTGACGGAGACAAGGCTGCTGTGTGCCAAAACACAGCTCTGAGCTGCAGAGAAATGTGTCTCCTCCCCCAAAAGAAGATGCTTTAACCCACAGGAGGGCTCTGCTGAGGCACTGGTTTGGAGCAGAGCAGCACAGAGCTCTGCCCAGGGCAGTGCTGCCATGGGAGGGATGGATGGGGAGCACCCCGGGGTGCTGATGAAGCTTCTGCCCTTAATATTCCTTCTTTTTCCAGTGTGTTGCTTTTTTAGAATCTATACCCTACTCAAGGAGGCTTTAAATGAGCATCATCAGACCCTGAACATCCCACCATGAACGGGTACCTGAACGAATCCAATTTCCTGATGGTGGAGGAGGGCTTCACCACCAGAGACCTGCTGGAGAACCTCCTCGGGGAGCTGTGCCAGGGGGTAAGGGCTGGTTCTCTGCTTCCCCCCTTACAAGAGGCACTCATGGAAGCTTCTGCTTACTCCAGCTTTCCCCTAGAGCGACCAGCAAGCCTTCTTCGTGGCAGACCTCGGGGATGTCGTGAAGAAGCACCTGCATTTCCTGAAGGCCCTGCCCCGGGTGAAACCCTATTTCCCAGTTAAATGCAACAGCAGTGAAGGAGTGATTCGGCTGCTGGCAGAGCTGGGGGCAGGCTTTGCCTGTGCCAACAAGGTAAGGATGTGGGAGGACAGCTCCAAGTGAGCATCCTACAAGCATTTGTGGGAGAGTGGCAGAGCTCACCCTCCTTTCCTGTCTCCACTCAGTAGGTGACATTTACAGGGGCAGGAGTCTCCCTCTGCTGTCAAAAGTCTATTGGCACAGCCCATAAATCCCTGTCCTCTGTCTGGTGACCCAGGCTTTCCCTTTGACCAACATTCCTGCCTCTGGAGCTGGTGTCTTGGCTGGCAGGCTTGGCTGGTGGCACAGCACACCCCTGGGGTGCCACTGCCAGAGCCATCCAACTCTTGCTTTCTTTAAGGATGAGTCTAAAGCTCCCTGCTCCCTCCTCCTCATCATTTGCAACAGCCAGATTTCCAGGGAGGAGCCAAATCAAGCCACTGACTTGTACATAATTAAATAAGATGGGTTTCCAGGAAGAGAAAGTGCAAGTGTTGTCACAGCTCAGACCAGGGGTCACATGCCAACCCTACGCCAGCTAAACCCACCTGTTTCCTCTCCTGCTGTTTTACACACCTTACCACAGTCTGTCCTTGCCAGGACAAAGTCCACTGTGATGCCTTTGAGCTCTTGTAGCTTTTCCTTGGAAAAGCCCAGGCCGCAACGCTGACGCTTTGCCCTCCCCAGTGCTGCAAACTGGACAAGACCCAGGGCTGGTGGTGGCCATGGGGACCTTCCTGAGTGTGTTCCCTGTCCCTGCAGGCTGAGATCACCCGGGTTCAAGGCATTGGAGTCCCAGCTGACAGGATCTTCTACAGCAGCCCCTGTAAGCAGGTTGCCCACATCAGGTACGCGGCCAAACACGGGGTGCAGCTGATGACCTTCGACAACGAGGTGGAGCTGAGCAAGGTGGCCAGGAGCCACCCCCGTGCCAGGTGGGTGTCTGGCAGCACCACTGGAGGGGCAGCTGAAGGAGGAGCTGGGCAGGGGCCTGTGGGGTGCTACAGGGGCTAAGGAGGAGGTTGTAGAAGGTTGGTGTCGGTCTCTTCTCCCAGGCGACAAGCGATAGGACAAGAGGGAACAGGCTCAAGTTGTGCCAGGGGAGGTTTAGATTGGATATTTGGAAAAATCTGATCACTGAAAGGGTGCTCAGGCATCGCAACAGGCTGCCCAGGGAAGTGGTGGAATCACTATCCCTGGAAGTGTTCAAAAAACACGTAGATGTGGCACTTGGAGAAATGGGTTAGCGGTGGGCTTGGCAGTCCTGGGTTAATGGTTGGACTTGGTGATCTTAGAGGGCTTTTTTGGCCTTAATGATTCCATGACCCTGTGATTCCAAGCCCCCCCAACACAGTGTGGCTTTGCTGTGCAGGATGTTGTTGGGGATCACTGCTGACTCCAGCCCTTCTGCCCACCCGGGCATGACATTTGGGACCACGCTCAAATCCTGCCGGCACCTGCTGGAGGCAGCGAAGGAGCAGGCTGTGGAGGTGGTTGGCATCAGGTACAGCACGTGGTTCTTCTTCCAGAGGGGTGCTCAGCCCCTGTGGATCGGGATATGGGGAGCTCTGCCCTGCTGGAACAACACAGTGCTTCATGGAGCCACTGGGAGTGAGGTGAAGGCAGGGATTTGCAGGGATTCACCTTGTGGGGGCCAGTTTGGGACAGGTTTGACCCTAAGAAAGGCTTTTTGGGGCTCTGTGGGTCTGTCCAGGTGGTCTGGCTTGGGGTGGTGTGTGGGATGCACAGAGCTGCCTCCAGTGGGTGACAGTCCCAGTGCTGTCACTCTCTGGGGACAGTCAAACCCTGTTGAAATGGGCTCTGTGCCTTCAGCTTCCACCTTGGGGGCCGTGGGCTGGAGCCCCAGGCCTTTGCTCAGGCCGTGGCTGCAGCACAGCTGGTGTTTGACATGGGCACAGAGCTGGGCTACCAGATGCACCTCCTGGACATCGGCGGGGGCTTCCCCGGCACCGAGGACACCAGAGCCCGGTTCGAAGAGGTACCACAGCCCCCAGCACCTGCCCTCAGCAGGCACAGAGCGAGGCTGGAGGCTCTCCCTGGGTCTGGCTCGCTGTGAAATCCCTGTATCCAAGAGGGTACTTCTTCTTCCCACACAGATTGCTGCCATGGTAAACTCTGCCTTGGACTTGTACTTCCCGGATGGCTCCGGGGTGGAGATTGTTGCCAGACCGGGGCGATACTACGTCGCCTCCGCCTTCACCTTCGCTGTCAGCATCACTGCCCTGGAAGAGATCCCCGTGGAGCAGCCTGGCTCTGACGGTAGGTGGGACAGTGGGACAGGCCCACCCGTGTGCCCGAGCCCCCCCTGAGCCCTCTCCTTGCTCCCCTTCCAGAGGAGGAGTCCAGCAGCAGGAAGAGCCTCGTGTATCACCTCAACGACGGCATCTACGGCGCCTTCAGCTGCCTCCTGTTCGACAGCCCCTGCCCCAGGCCTCGGCTGCACAAGGTGAGGGGGTTTGCCCAGCCTGGGGAGAGCCCAGGGAGTCCCTCACGTTGTATGACATCACCTCATGCCAGAAGGGAGCAGACTGTGGGGAAGCTGTAGCCGGTCCATGGACTCCCGGGGTTGGATCTTTGGGATGGGTGGAGATGAGACGGGTCACTGTGACACTGGGACATCCTCATCCCCGTGGCTGCTCTCTGTCCGCCCCAGAGACCCTGCCCAGAGCACCCCTCCCACAGCAGCAGCCTCAGGGGCCCCCCTGGCCACGCCGAGGATCGCATCGCCGACGGGCTGGAGCTGCCCGAGCTGCACGTCGGGGACTGGCTGCTTTTTGGGAACATGGGGGCCTACACCATCCCAGCCTCATCCCAGCTCGGGGGGTGTCCCCAGCCACACGTCACCTACGCCATGTCCCGCATGGCCTGGTAAGAGAGTCAGAGTGGGGGGACAGGGCTGGGTCCTGCAGGGTGGGAGATGCCGCTTTCCCTCCTCCACCGGGGCTCTTCGCCCGAGGAAAAGGGTCAAATCTGAGTCCCAGAGCCCTGAAAATTCAGGGTAAAAACCTGGCCTCAGAGGCAAAGCTCCTATTCTTTTAAATGTTGGCAAACTTGAGCCTGTTTTTTGCTGGGGAAGCCACGGGCAGCTCACCTCTGGCTGTTGTTCTGTTGGGGGGGATGTGAGAACCCTGGAGATTCCCCTTCTCTGGGCCCACCCCCTTCACGAGGGGCTGCTCCTTCCCCCTTGCTCCCCCTCGGGTGTTTCCCACTTGCAGGAAAGCCATCCAGCTCTTCCAGGGAAAGCCCCTCCAGGCAGAAGAAGACCGTGAGAGCCTCTGCACGCCCCTGTCCTGCGGCTGGGAGATGGCAGAGACCCTCTGTGTCCCCCCAGTCTTCGCTCCCACCGGCATCATCTGAGCAGGGACGGCACAGGGAGGGGAGGACCCATGGTGGGGAAGGGCCCTGGGGTGGTACCGGGGTGGGGAAGGGTCCTGCAGCAGTACCAGGGCAGGGGGGAAGGTCCCATCGCAGTACCAGGGGGATAAAGGTCCCACAGCGGTACCTGGGGTGGGAAAGATCCCACAGTGGGAAAGGTCCCACGGTGGGAAAGGTCCCATTGTGGTACCAGGGTGGATGAAGATCCTGTGGCAGTACCCAGGGGTGGAAAAATCCCCCAGTGGAAAAGGTGCCACAGTGGTACCGGGGGGTAAAAAGGTCCTGCAGTGGGAAAGGTCCCACAGTGGTACCGGGGGGGGGATAAAAATCCCATGGCAGCACCTGGCAGGGAAAAATCCCCCAGTGGGAAAGGTCCCAAAGTGGTACCAGAGAGGGAAATGTACTGGATGTACTGGAGGAGGGAAATGTCCCATGGTGGTATCAGGAGGGAAAAGGTCCTGTAGTAGGAAAGGTCCCATGGTGGTACTGGTGGGGGAAAGGTCTCATGGCTGTACTGGAGGAGGGAAAGGTCTCACAGTGGGAAAGGTCCCCTGGCAGCTCCAGGGGGAAGGAGGTGCTCTCCTGCTGCTGGCACCACCCCGCTCCACTCTCCCCGGGACTGCACTGGGAACTTCGAAGTAAATCCTATCCCATGGATCCTGTCCCATAAATCCTGCTCCTCCAGCTCGTGCAGAGTGTGTTTGGCAGGTGGGCGGGGGGTGCCCAGCAGGTTTGGGCTCTTGTTTTAGGAGGGATGGTAATAGCTGGTGTCCAGCGTGGCTCAGGGGTGGGGGATGAGGGAGCCCCCGGCTCCCCCTCCACACCCTGTGCTGGAGGCAGCCGCCTGCAATCAGCATTTTAATGAGGTTTTGCTCATTAGGGAGGGCGGGGCTGTTCACCCAAACCTTGTCCGGGCATCCGGAGGGAAACCTGTGATTTTGGGGGCACGGAAATAGGGGGGTGGGTTCGGGATGTGGGTGTCACTGCGGGGAAGACCCATCTGCCAGGTTCCTGAGGTCCCCTCAGCCCTAAGGAAGGCTCCTGTCCTGGGGTGTGTGGGGGGGTCCTGCACAGGACAGCCCCTCTGAGACCTGAAAGTCAGGGACTGGGAGAACTGGGGGTCACTGGGAGCCCTGGGAGGACACTGGGAGGACACTGGGAGGATATGGAGCACTGGGAGAGCACTGGGAGGACACTGGGAGCACTGGGAGAGCACTGGGAGGACACTGGGAGCACTGGGAAGACACTGAGAGGACACTGGGAGCGCTGGAAGGACACTGGGATGACAGTGGGAGTACTGGAATGACACTGGGAGGGCACTGG